TCAAGTAAAGTATCCTAGGTCCATGCAATCTAATATTACATAGGCATTAAAATCATGCTTTTAATAAAAAGATTTGAAAGAGAGAGGAAAGGGGAGAGAGTGAAAGAAAAATGTGAGAGGGAAACATCGATCACTTGGCATGTGTTGGTTATTATTACCTGTGTAAAGGTTCACATTCCTTCGATCAGCTGCCTCTTGCACACCCCCTACTGGGCATGTGCCCACAACCAAGGTACATACCCTTGACCGGAATTGAACCTGGGACCTTTCAGTCCACAGGCCAGTGCTCTATCCATTGAGCCAGACTGGTTTCAGCATCCCAGGACATTTCTAATTGGATGACAACTCTGCTTATGGGGCCATCAAACAGTTGCTGGAACTATGCAGAATCATCTAATCCACCATCTATATACATCCCCAGTCCTCAAAATACTGAAGACAGCTTTCATGAATTTAATAACAGCTTTCTGTGGCTTATTTATTTTTAATTTCAAGAACAGAATACAGTAGACTATAAAAATGAGCGTTATCAGTCTTCCTTTGGATTTTCTATGTAAATGTTGTTTAACATTCAAAGGGTGCTGATTATAATTTGAGATATTAACAGTTAGATATGCCATTGTGTCCCTCTGTTATTGTTTGTAAAGGAGGTTAAACACTGTATTAACTTCTGAGTAGTGATTTAGTGTTGCTTTTGTTAGAGAAAAATGAACAAAGAAGTAACATCATATAATTTGATATTGCCTTTGAGGGTTTTCCGTTCGCAGAGGCCTTCATTTCCAGCCCAATTTCAGTTTTTAAAAAGCAAACATGTGGTGTAACTATAGCATCCTGTAGATGCCGAGTTGCTCTTTGCTTCCTGGCTGAAGCTGCTGTGGAATAGTGCTCGGTAACCATTAAACAGCTGCTCTGCCTCAGAGATGCTCATATTTCCTTTGGTAGATGAAGAGAATTTACTGCATGAACGTCTCTAAATTGCTTTAAGATCTCTTGGCCCGTACATCAGCCGTTTAGATTCACAGTGGTTTATGGGACACGTGAGCACCATCTTTCTGGAGGCCCCCACAGCCCGGAGGTTCCAGCAACAACCTGCACTTTGCTGAGTCTCACTCTCCCGTGTTATCCCGGGGCTCCCGATTCCTGCACGATCCTCCCCGCTTATTCTGACAGAGTCCTTAAGTGTTATTTCTTATATCATGGGAGCAAGCGCTGTTCGTTATATCCAAGTGCCACCCACTGTTTCTTTTCTTTACTCTGCCTCATCTAGGGTAATGCCTACCTACTGTAAAGGCTGTGCTGCCCACACACATGCATGACAGGTGGTAGCCCTCTGCTTCAGGGGCATCTCCCAGGCTACCCTGACCCCCCACACTCCTATAAGGTCATTGTCAGTAGACACCCCTGCTCATCCACAGAGTCTCCCTATGTTCCATGCAGGAGTGGAAGCCAGTGGGAGCATGGTGTTGCATTTCTATTTAGTGGGTGCTAAAGCAGTCCTGACATGTTTTCAATACCTTTCATAGTTTTAGTAAAATAACTCGTTCAGTTTTTCTCGTAGATTCGAATTCCTTAGAACTTGAAAAATTGGGGATGGGGAGCACCCGACTACATTCGGAATTGCCTTCCCTTGCCTGTGGCATAGTCATTGTATTTATCTGTGCGCCTTGCTGTCTTCCCACTGGTAGGATTAGCTTGAGGTAGCACCTCTTAGCAGATCCGCATCCAACTCTGTCTTAATGTTATGTTCAAATCAATAATGCATATGTATCTGAAAGATATTCAACTTTAATATCTTCAACTCTGTCTTAATGCGCACAACTGAGAAACAAATGGAGCCTTGGCTACTCATCGAAGTAATATGGAAATGAACTTCAGATGATATGTACATATTGAAATGTTGTTATGTATTAAAATGATGTCATTTATTTAAATACTAGAGGCCTGATGCACAAAATTCGCAGCCCCAGCTTCATCCGGAAGGTTGTCTGGAAGGAAGTCCGGAAGGTCATTTGGCTGTCTGGTCTAATTAGCATATTATACTTTTATTATTATAGATACTGAAATGTTTATTGCTTATTCACTTATTTCTCAGATTTTCTTAACTATTTTTAAACTCTTATTCTTTAAACTTTTCTAGTTCCTTGGTATTTATTTGGTATTAAATGCCTGAAGTTTTACACAGTGAAGTCAGAAATACAATCTGACTCTAATCATTACTCTTTCCCATTTTACCCAAAAGCCTAAATAAAACTTTCAGCAAATGAGTTCCCGGAATAACAATATAGTCATTCTTCAATCTTGAGCCATCTAAGTCTGCCTTTATAAAAGTACCAAAATGTTCTTTTGTGATTCCCTCTTCAGTAAATTGCATTTTAAAATTTTGTTCTGCAAGTATTTATTTAGTACTTTCTGTACATAGTGGTGCTGAGCTAGTTGTTTGGGAGCTACAGAGATGAACAAAAACCTAGCCACTCCTTCAAATAATCCAGCTGAGAGTCTATTAAGAACCACAAGACCTAAAAACAGTTACCTTGGAAAACTCGAACATCCAAAGTGATGTGAAATAAGTACACACTAGGTTCTGGGTGGAACGAGAAGAAAGACATTGGTTGTAGCTGGCCCAGGGGTTGGGAGTGGAGGTAGAAGAGCAGACTGTGGAGGGGGTGGTGGTTGAGCTGATACTGAAGAATGAGAGGAGAGGCTGCGCAGAGCGGGCCTCCTGGTCAGAAGGGAGCTGCCTGAGAAAGGCATGAGGGCAGGCATGTAGAGGGCACAGCTGGATGAAGACAAGAGAGCTTGCCTGGTTGCTTAAGTACATGAGCTGTAGCCATGATAAATGAGGTCTAAAATAATTTGTATATAAGTCTGTATTAACATATTTACCACATATAAAATTTCATGTGCACTATCATATAAAAGTACATCTAATTGTACTTTAAAAAAAAATCCCAACAAAAAACAAAAGCAACAGAAATCTTTGTGTTCAATGATAGTCTCCAGTGATTCAGAAAATTAGATATATCTTTATCCCGAACCACACAAAGGGAGTCAATGTCATTTTTTTCTTTTGGTCTTCATGTCTTTTAGCACCTTGTGCAGTGCTGGCTAATCTAGTTGCTCAATAATCACCGAAATGAATTCAATCTGGTGAAATATTAATTGCTCAACATGTAGGAGTTTTTTAAAATAAAAGCACATCATAATCAAATGGGAACATTTTGTTATTATCCTCTTAAGAGTAAATATATATATATATATATATATATATATATATATATATAAAATAAATAGATATATAAATATATAAATATATAAACATATATATAGATAAATATATAAAAATATATTAAAAATATATATTTTTAACAGTAATGACTTAATATGAAACTTAAGTATTATCACCAGCTGGGATTTCATACTTTCTTCTCTCTCATTCTTTAATCCTTTATCTAAAGAAGGTGGATGGGTGGGTGTAAAACAGCGTTCAGACATACGTGACTCCTCAGTTCACAACAGTAAAGCATATATTATAATTAAATGATTTTCTGTCTTTTCATGCTCTGTATGGTTAAAAACGTTGTGGTAACATTTATTCTGGTAAAATCTCTAAGTGCAGATTTACAAATAATTTGAGTGTCTAGAATTCAGTGTGTATAATGCAGTGTATGGGTGATCACTGGCCTCAGTGGTCAATTGGAACTTAGGATATCAGTGCCTACCATGACTTTTCTATTTTGAGTTCATTTATTATTCATAACAGTTCTATAATGTAGGTAATTTTATGCCTCTAATTTATAGACGAGGGATCTGGGGCCCCAAAAGCCTCATAACATGTTCAGGATTCCACCCTGGTCCATGGTGGTTGGGAGTCGAATCCTAGCTCTTTGACTTGAGTGCTTCATGTTACACCACCAGCGCCTCACATCTGGCAACAAATCTCCTCCCTTGGTCAACCCTAAAGCTCTAAGTGAAATCAGATCAAATTGACAATCTTTGGAATTGAGAGTTTTTTCCTGGAAGTATTTGAATTCTGAGGCTTTCAGGCTCTTTTTGATCTGTCCGTGGGGCAGCAGAGAGTAACCATATTTCTTCTTCTTAGGTGTTCTCTTCCTTCTCACCTCATTATGCCTCTTTCTCGTAGACGGGGAAACTGGTGACAGGGCCAGTGTCTGTGGGAGTCCTCAGCCCTAGGTGTAGACACAGCTAGACCAGCTGCAGCACAGGCCTGCTGGGCCCCATACCTGGAGGTCATGGAAGAGTCATGTGGCATTCCTTGGAGCCTTGCAATCACCACTGTTTGCTAGAAAAAGTTTCCAGTTCTTGGAACGAAGGGGATCCGGGGGAATAGTAGCGAGGGTGAGAAAGCAAGGAGATCTGGTGAGGTATAGTCAAGGTGGGCGGAAATTGGTTGATCCAAAGTGTTTGCTGTAATGTACAAGTTATGCATTTGTGTGATTCATGACCTGGGAATGAGGATGGGGGTGCTGGTAATGGCAGCTCACTTTTCTTTAATCAGGGGAGGATTTGTGAAAGAACAGTGGTTGCAAGAGATGTTTGAGGTAATTCCAACAAGGTGCTAATTGTGGTTGTGGTTTTCCTTTTTCTTTCTCTCCCTCTCCTTTTTTAAATGGATGGATTTTCATCTACCAGATGCTACCAAGCTGAATGCATGTATGAGAACCCCTAAAGCTTCCTTTTCAACATGGGTGGGCCATGGCAAAAGCACCGTGCCAATTGCCCTGTACGTTTAGAAAGTTAAAAAAATTATCTTAGGCGATGATTTAGCATCTAAACTTTTTTTTTTTTTTACTTTTGCTTAAACAGACCCAGTTTGCATTCACAAGTTTTGCCTTTACATGTTTTTGTTGTAAGCTCACTTATTTTTTTTTTATTTTTTTGTTCTAACCTTTGGTTTAAAAACACTTGAACAAATTCTAGTGTTTAATCATTTATTTGCTTCCTGCACATGTTGATCTTTTCCCCTTTCTGTGTCTTTTCAGGATACCTTGAAGATAGTTTTGTAAAATCTGGAGTCTTCAATGTATCAGAGCTTGTGAGGGTATCCAGAAGTAAGTAAATAGTTTTCTTATTATTTAATTTTGCAGTGAGATTTAAAATATTTTACATTTTTGAACCTTAAATACAGTCTGAAGAGTAACCATATATTAGGAGAAAATGAGCTTTAAATTCTCTGATTTTTGATGAAATCACTAGTGAATACATTTTGTCTGGTTTCTCTAAAACATTTGCATTTAAGCCATTAAAACTTTTTGTTACACAAAAATAATTTGGGGGTTGATCTGATTGCCTTGTTACTGGTATTCACTTAATTCCCTGTTCTCTCTGTGACCGTAGATGGTCATTTTTATCAAAGGAAGTGCGATTAATTAAGTGTACTAGGTATTGTTATAATAACCCACATAAGTTTCCTGTAGATAAGTGCTTTTTTATTTTACTGACATTTTGGTGGGAGCTGGGAGATGTACAGGATATACATGCTAACGTGCTACGTGTAGAGGGATGCAGAGATTAGCTTTGCAGATTGCAGCTGGATATAGATAGAAAGCATTGTTATCCCAAACAATATCCAATTGTTCTAACTGCCCGCCTCACCTGAGACTCCGTTCTTGGCAGGCCGGATGAGGAGTTTCTTGGGTAACTTCACCTGCCAAGCTAACTAAGCACCGAGAGTGTTTCCCCGATCAACTCCCTTACTTATAACTGGTGTGTGCAAATTTATATCTAGAATGCAGCTCTTAACGCACCGATTGCATTCAAGGAGGTGACTCATGTCTTGTTGCTCTCTTCCCTGCGGTAGCTTCTTTATGAAACCTGGAAGGGTGTGTTTTCACCTGACATTTTGATGGAGAGCCTTGCAGTTAGGAATGATGCTACACAGATAATGTAGTGGCACTCCGGTTCTTGTTTAAATTGTGTTTTTCATCTGGGTCACAGTCAGAGGTGATTGCTAAGATTTATGGTGATCCAAAAGAACAAACTGGGAGTGAGTTCCTGAGGGTAAAAGAGTAGGTGGTGCTTTAGAGTTGTGTTGAGTGAAGGAATCTCCAACGTAGTAGAGTCCTGGGTCTTTTGAATCATCGTTGCTTAAAGAGTTCCAATTTCTAAAGCGGCCAAGTGCAAATAGTCTGATTCTCAGAGAGTTATGCACATACACCTTTAAAACTTGAAGTAATTCATCCTTTCTGACGTGATGTTCCAGTGGATAAGTGTATACCGCAAGGACTTCTGTCCTAGGTCTATGTACTTGGGAGCAGCGTAGACCACAATCTAACATCCTGTAGCTCCAGGGTTCATAGTTGCTGGGCAGGAGGATTCTAATGGTTTACCGATGGACCAGGGCTCTGAGCCCTGTGTGCTTTTCCTGACCAGACTGTGGTCTGAAGGCCTTTGACATTTGAAAGTTCTTTTATGTTGATTTAAAAAAATATATATTTTTATTGATTTTTTTTATAGAGAGGAAGGGAGAGGGATAGAGAGCTCGAAATATCGATGAGAGAGAAACATCGACCAGCTGCCTCCTGCATGCCCCCCACTGGGGATGTGCCCGCAACCAAGGTACATGCCCTTGACCGGAATCAAACCTGGGTCCCTTCAGTCAGCAGACCGATGCTCTATCCACTGAGCCAAACCGGTTTCGACTATGTTGATTTTTTAATTTGAGAGGAAACTGCCTGACTTACTTTCACTTTTGGGCATCATGTAAAGAAGGGGTATTTGGAGGTGTGTGTGTGTGTGTGTGTGTGTGTGTGTGTGTGTGTGTGTTTTCTCTATAATGTTCTTTAGCAGGGAAGCTGTGCTGCTAACAGTTATAAGACATTAAGGAATTACTTGTTTAAATTTCCTAAGTTCCAAGATATATTTTCATCTTTCTTATGAGAAGCAGTGGATTCATCAGTCAGGAAATGTGATTAGCGCCTCATCACAGGTGACATTATGCTGGATGCTATAGGAGAGCCAGGTTAGAGCTGTCAAAAGCCCAGAGGGACATTTTGAAAAATTTGAAACATAAAAAACAACAACAAAACAAAACAGATTAAAAATTACTTTTCTATAACAGTTCAGAAACGAGGTAAATTTAACATACTTCACTCATTCTTTCTTAATTCATACTGTCATTTCTGAGAGGTTTTTGTGTAATCTGTTACAACAAACATTACTGATTTGCAATTAGTCCATTGGTTATCCACATTCATTCATTCATTCATCGATTCAGCAAACATGTATTTTCTCCTCTGGATGTGAATGGGTGTCTCTGAAATGCTTGAGAGATGATTCCCCTACACGTTTTGATATCTCTACATTATAATCTTATTTACACAATTGAACTTTATTGTGGGTGAAATAAGGGTTTGCTAAGTAAACATAGACTTCGGCACAGCCCTCATGCTGTATATCACAAATTCCGACTTTTTGACAGTATGTTAATGGTTCCTGTCCTCCAGGGTTTTACGATCATATGACCCACTAATGTGTATGTTGACTTTAGCTAATGAAGCTATTCAGTTTTAGGATAGTGATCTTTCTGTCGAAGGATATTATCTCCATCTTAGAAGTTGATTTAGGATCAGCTTTTGGAGTGAGAAGAACAATAAGAGAGATTAAGGGCTGGCCTCTAACCTGTGGAATCTGCGATTCTTGGGAGCTCGGTTTCTGAGAGGATATTGGCAGCCTCTTAAACATGATTTGCAGCTCCAGGCCTCTTGCCCCTCTCTGGAAGACGTGCTCACCCTGATCTTTGTGTCCGAGGGAAGTTCTCTTGGGGGCTTGTAGACAGGAATCTGTCTGGGACTTGCTGTTCTCATACACTTCGCCATTAAACACATTTTGTGGGTGTGCTGTTTTAGAATGTGGCCATGTTTATTAGTAATCTACTTCCCTTTGTGGAGTCTCCCAGTTCATGTCAGAAAACACACTACCTTTCTACTTGCGTATACATTTGTAGACAGGTTATTTTTATTGCCCATTCGATACTTTGGAATAATCTTTCCAGACAAAGTTTAGAAAATAATGTCTGAAGATTTTTTTTTTTTTATTATCATTTTACTCTAAATGACACCTTGTAAGTTTATGGTCAAGCAACCTGTACTGACCATCCAGCCATATGGATTACACAGAAATTGCAGAGCTTTGCCTAAATATTGCATGTGCTTACTAAATGGCACAGTGTTTGTATAGGATATAACCTATGTTTCCTGTTAGCAACTCAGATACTGGAGTTATATCCATTCCCGTTCCAGCGACTGGACAGATTGCTTGCTTTCACTGAGCCACACAAATGCCTCCTCCTATCAGATGCCCTGCTTCCCAATGTCACATAGAACAAGGTTCTAATAATAGACGTCAGAGCATGTGGTTACTGTGAGATTTTTTACCTTGCTTTTTTTTTTTTTAACCTCCGGTGTACCTCAAGCCACCGCAAGCAGCTACATTTTAGCTTTCCAAAGGATTTAAGCCATTAGGCACAGTTACACATGGAGTACAAACATGTTCTGTGTGGAAGGAGGCTAATGTGAGTTACATATAACATGAACAACCTAACAGAAAGCAGAAGCTCGAGAACTTTGGAGCTGAAACAAATCTCGTATGTAGTGATTTATTTAATTTTCAGTAGGAAAAGGAAGGTTGTCATTGTATAGTCCTTGGTGCTTCTCTGCGCTAAGGCCTTGCCTCATGTTCATACATTCATAAAAACATTTTAAGTTAACCTTGGCCTGTGTGATATTGAAATACAATTCAACTGATGGTGAACACATTTCAGTTGTTTATAAAAAAAATTCTGAGTAAGAAAAATTCGTGGTCCCTTCGAAATTTTACTAGTATATTCAACTCCAGGCAGTTAGGAGAGGCAGGCAGCAGACCTGGTGTTCTTAGAGTGAGTCTCAGGGGCTCTCCAATGTAGTTGCCCCAGCACAGGGCACACTTTTTCTCCTTAGGGCCTATGAAGGTCCAGTAAAAAGCAGGTGAAGAAATGGAAACTCTGCTTCACCTCTGTCCTCTGACACCAACCTGTCTGGTCTCCACCTCGTATATTACCTCTGCCCATGACTTTGATCCCTATGTAAACCCTATTTAAAACGATCCCCCCTTCAATACCTTATTCATTCTCTCAGGTCCACTGCCATCGATGGCTTTTCCACAGATTTCGTGGACCATTCAAGCTTGTATTAGATTCTTCTTCCCTTGAAATCCTACAGCATTTTATTGGTCATGTCATTCATTCGGACTGTTTCACTGCTGTCTGCATTATGTTGGTATTTATGTTTCCATGAGTGTTTTGTGTGCCCACGTTGTTGTCCAGTATGTTTCAAGGACCAGGACTACCTTAGACTATTTTGTATCCCTTGCAGCACCTGCCCGTAATGGACACAATCAATAACTTGTTGAATGAACAAATTTTCAGCAAGTAGGTTCATTTATACCTCTTCACCTGCTCTTAGCATGCTTTTGAACTGTTATATCTTTGCTGACCACTTCAGTCTGCAAGGGAGGAAACTTGTGGGAGAAAGGAAAGAAACTCATATTTATCGAACACCTATTATGTACCAGGCATGATATCACATTTGAGCTCTTTTATCCTCAAAATAATCATAGGTGGTAGGTTATTCTTCTTCTCATTTTACAGTACAGGAAACTGAGGCACATATCTTATAAGTGGTAGAATAAGTTCAAACTAAAAGACTCTCTGGCTCCCAAGACTGTACCCATTCTAGCACAACAACCTCGCAGATTTATCCAAAATGTCTAGAAACAAAATGTTTTAATTTAAACAAATGTGCAAAACCCAACACAAATATACAAAAAAAAATCTCAGTTCATGATATATCAGCAAAATAAAAAAGATACCTTTACAAAATAATACCTTAAAACATGAAATTTCATGTACATATTTTACATCATGTATTACGTTGTAGCATAAACACTTTTTTAGATGACAAAACATAATTATTGAGAAAAGCTATGCTTACCATTCCTATGAAACCTAAATATCCATTTTTTGGGGGGGAGGGGGAATCTTGACTTTATTTTATATTTTAAAATTTTTCTTATCTACTTGCCATAATACAGGAATTATTTATATAAAATAATCATCAACATCATGATTTCTAATCCATTCTTATATTTAAGTTATTGATTCTATATTGACTATAGAATACTATTTGGTATTTATTTGTGAGACTGTTCTATATTTATTTAATGACGATTTGATGATGATTTTGTGAGTCAGCTTCATACAAAGCACATTGCGCTAATGCACTGCAGACTGGTGGGGTGACAGTTAGAGCAAATACAAATGAGTTAGTGAGAAAGGTTGGGGAGTTAGAGTTGGGGGAGAGGTACTCCATAGTTAGAGCTTGAGTGCCTCCAGTTTGCAGACTTGAACTTTGGTATCAGGAGGAAGTTTCCAAATCCTGGCACAGCATATGGTTGATATTAGAGTCTTGAAAGTAAAGAGAGTTTTCCTCCTTGCCCAGAGGCTTGGAAAACATTAGATTATTACATTTGAATAAAGATGACAAGTGTAAAGGTCAATCCCAACGTTTCATTTGTTTTATTCCTCAGCACCCATCACCCAGGGAACTGGAGTCAACTTTCCAATTGGAGAAATCCCAAGCCAACCATACTATCATGACATGAACTCGGGGGTCAATCTCCAGCGGTCGCTGTCTTCTCCACCAAGCAGGTAACTGAGGGAGAAGCTGCTTTTGTTTCCAAGTGCGTGTGCAAATCGGTAGGTAGGGAGCTATGCAGCTACAGAGGCAGGAGGGACAGAATAGGGGAGCAATGCAAAGAGTGGAAGAGTTTTTGCTTATTTCACGCAGATTTTTTTTTCCATCTTTCCTGGTGAAATTTATTTTGACATTTCAAAATTAAATGTAGTAATTGTTATTCAAAGCATTTTAAAAAATTGGGGCAGGGGAGTGACCAGGGAATTATGAACATGTATATGATTTTTTATCCTGTTCTGTTGAATATTATAATTCTACAAGTTAGTTAATTCTTTTGACAACTTTAAAAATGATTGATCCATCCTGGTAACTTTTACCCTAATACCAAAACCCAGCTGGGGACAATGAAACATGAAAAATAAAATGTGTCATTTGTTTACACTTAAAAGCAAAAGGCCTTATTCTGGGCCAAAGTTTGCCAAGTTCTTCAATTAGTCAATATTCCCCAATAATTGAGCGAACTCTCAGTTACCAATGAAAATACTGCATGTTCTGAGATTAGGCTTAACCAGCTTTCTTTGTAGAAGAACTACAACTAGATTACTTTACTTTTTGGTTCTCTGTTGACATTCTCATTTTCCTCTCTTGACCTTCTTATTATAGCCTTCAGTCTCACAGGCATTTAAAAAGAGTTTTTCTATTTAAAGGAGGGATAAATCACTTAGAAAGTCATTGCACATAGGATTTCATTATATGTTCCACTATTGCAGAATGGTAGAAGAGGATTGAGGTAATGGGAATGAAAGGTGAATAAATAGTACAGCTTTGTTGGCTTTCTTTTTGAGTCAAATCTTCAATATATGAAGACCCATTTCATTTCCAAAGAATTAAGTATATCCATGATCAAATATGACCACATATATGGATTCTAGAGCAAAACATATATTTTATAAAATTAACTTAAAAAAACAGGCTAATTGTTTTTCTATGCTATTTCTATAATGAAAATTGATGGCATTTCAATTAATTATGGGGTTATGCACATTTGTATGTTTAGTATCTAAATTTAATTTTATGGTCGAACTGTATTTTTATATAGTTAGATTGCATAGCAAGATAATTGGGTTTATTATCACTAAAATAGTCTGTGACATCGTGAGATATTAAAATGATTTAATTTTTCTAAATTTAAAGAGTGAACGGTAATTTCTTGTTTTGTCTGATGAATCAGTATGTTGTCAACATAGAGTGTCCATTTTCTTATGAAAATCTTTTCTCTCTTATTTTAAGTTTTCTGTATTTACTGCTGATTCAGAGATGGGATAATGGAATTATAGGAGGGTTTTAAAAATACATATTCTAACTTTTGATACCATAAAACCACAGAAAAGAAACAAAAGAACTATAACTTACTCTCAGAGTTGGTTAGTATGGATAGAAATTACCTCCTTCTGCATCATGTTAATAGTGTGAGCTGTGAGTCAAACATTAATCAAAGGCATATCTATGAATATGCCCAGACATACACATGCCTCCAGGTTTTGGAAACATAGCAAGAGCACAGCTTACTTTGTGTCAGACTGTTTCCATCATTAGCATGCACTGGACAACTCCCTGAATTTCTCCATATTTGTCTCCCCACATGAAAGAAAAGGGAGGACTGGTTTCTGTGTAGGACTCTGGAGGTCCACTCCAGCTCTGAAATCCTATGACATTTTGTTTGCCACTTCATTAAGTTATTCCAGAATGTTTTTTGTTTTTGTTTTTAGTTTTTGCCTTGATAGATATGAATAGGGACTTTTGTAATTTCAGGAAAAATATCCATGTTTTTATAGTCAATTAGCTGTTTAATAGGGTATTGGTGAGGATATATGAAAGTAGTATATCAAGCTACATAGCATGTGCCATAAGATAGCTTTTCAACCTCTGTTCTAAATACTTTTCTTAATAATTTAGATGAGCCATGCTTTCCTGATTAAAATATATCATTTTAAAAGTATACCGTGTGGCTTGAATTTGGCAATGGCCTGCTTTTCATGGGTAATCTCAAGAATGAAGGATCAATAACTTAAATTTTTTCAAAAAAGAATATATAAAGTAATTTATAATTGTTAAAGCACTATAAAAATTTTAAGCTTTATTAATTATAGGGTTACCAATGATAATTACTACTTAATAAGCATCTTCTAAGTGCTATCCACTCAACTAAGTGCTTTAATTTAATAACTCATTTAATCCTCTCAACCACTCCCATTTGAACTAGGTTTTATTATTTCTATTTTATAGATGATTAAACTAAGTTTAGAAAAGTTAACAAGCTTGCTATTAAGAAGTAGTAAGTGGCTTACATTTGACACTGAGCTAGTTCTTCCTACTCCAAACTTCATGTTCTGCTCTACCCCATTACCTTATCTTCGAATTAACATGAAAGGATTACATTGTTAATATCCAGTGCTATGCAAATGACCATTATTAATATTGATAGTATAAGAATCAGGGACAATCTTAATAACGCCTTTGAAATTAGTACATGTATCTCATTTAAGAGTACGCTTTTTACTCCTAAAATTCCTTTGGAAATACATTTCAAAGGAAAATATAATAAACGTCATATTTGTTAGGTAGGCACATATATAATATAGTACGATAAATGATATGTACACCTGGAAACAGTGTTAGCCCTGTTTGCGTCTTGAATACTCACTCTTATTTCAAAATGATTCTGAGATACTATTGTGTTTATGGAAATTTCCACAGGAAGAATCTTCTCAAATTATACGCTTTCAAATGCTGCACAACTTTCTAGAAAGCCCATTAACATAACTATTGTTGCATTTTAACAGCAAAAGACCCAAAACCATATCCATAGATGAAAATATGGAGCCCAGTCCTACAGGAGACTTTTATCCCTCTCCGAATTCACCAGCTGCTGGAAGTCGAACATGGCATGAAAGAGATCAAGGTGAGTAGCAAGCAGATGCCTTGCTAGGGACCTTGTAGTAATATGTCAGCTCATTTCATGTTTCATTTAGTCAAAATAGCAGAGTGGAACCAATATAGATTTTTTTTTTTCATGAAATGGCTGCAGTAAAATTAGTTTTAAGCTAAGGTGCTTGTCAATTATTTTCAGAGTTCACTTTGAAAAAGTCCCATGTTTTACGTGTTTATTGAGTTCCTTTTTCTTTTCTTTTTTAAAAAAAAATATATTTTATTGATTTTTTTACAGAGAGAAAGAGAGAGGGATAGAGAGCTAGAAACATTGATGAGACAGAATCATCGACCAGCTGCCTCTTGCACACCCCCTACTGGGGAAGTGCCTGCAACCAAAGTACATGCCCTTGACCGGAATCGAACCTGGGACCTTTCAGTCCGCAGGCCGATGCTCTATCCACTGAGCCAAACCGGTTTCGGCTATTGAGTTTATTTTTCAGACAGAATGATCTTTTTAGAGCCCCCAATTATGTATGGAGCCAATCATTGTCTGTCTACCTAATTTGGTTGGGTCGCAGCAGAAACACGAGTTATAATTCCATTAGATCAGTTTGCCTCTCTTTATGTGGTACTTTAGGGAGGAATAAAAAATGAGTTTGCAGGTGCCAGTTACTGGAAGTTTCCATTGAATGGCTAGGATTCCTTCTGAAAGTGGTTATAGCATAAAAAATAAGTGAACGTGGAACGTAAGAAACTTTATATCTGAGTCAACCTAGTTCTACTTTCTAGATAAAACTACGACTCAATTCTAGGTCCACTTTGCGGGAAAATATAACTTTAAGAAATAGGTGTTATTTGGCACTCTGAATTCAGACTTTTCTCCATTTTATTCTTAAAGTTTATTGCAGTGATTTTTAATTGATGTGCTGCAAGAATTTTTAAAATATGCAATACCTGACTCTTTAGCCAGGACACTGACCTCTTTTCCTTTAGACTATCAATTAAAATATAACAATAGCCAACACAACAATAGCCATCCAATGTGAATGAATCAAAATTTACCTGATTTTTGGTCAGATCAAACAAAAAATATCTCCTGGTGTGCCACACAATTTTAGTTGATGTGTTCTACGAGATGAAAAGGTTGAACATTATCTGGTCTATTGAATTATTTCATCAAACAAACCCATGCCTGTTTGCCTTAATTAGAGAGAGAATATTAAGCCTGGAAACAGAAAAATTAGCTAACTGCACTTTGTGTTGGTATGTGTGCATGGATGTAAGTAGGACTTACATAATGAAAATTGTCTTTTAGATCAAGTTTTGCATTTTAATAAAAACGTAAAAGCACGCTTTGTCAGTAGTTTTAAACCCATGACTTGGGCGTGTGTATCTGAGGGTTGGGAAGTTGTATGCCCAGCAGTCTCAGGGTACAAATAACTTAGTGGTAAGAGCCAGTTCTTTACTCAGGACTACATTTTTGCTGCTCCAGATTTTTATACTGAATGCCTTAGAGTTTAAAGAATCATGAAAAATTTTCATGGAGGAGTTGGCCTTTGAGTCTGGTGGGTCTCCTTTAACAGGCTGAGATTTTTAGCTTGTGAAGTAGGGGCTGGCATGGACACAGGCAAGCGCTGTGGGAAGTTAGAATGGCCATGTGCGCCCCGTGGCCGGGCACTGTGCACGTGGAGGGAAGGAATGGCAGATGACAGAGGTCATTCTAAGGACATTCTTGGAAACCAGCTGGAGAGTTTGGCTCTAAGGACACTTTTTCCAATCTGTTCTTTAGGCTGTAGACCAAATCATCTGTATAGCACAAAATGATGCTAGCCCTGGCTGGGTAGTTCAGTTGGTTAGAGTGTTAATATTAGGGCACATCAACCAATGAATCCATAAATAAGTGGGACAACAAATTTCTCTCTCTCTCTCTTTCCTTCTCCTTCTGCCTTCCTCTTTCCTTCTCTCCCTCCCTTCTTCTTTCTGTAAAAATCAATCAAATAATTAAAAAAACTCATAATGACATCACATCGCTTCTCTATTTCAGATCCTTTAGTAACTTTCCATTCCTCTTAGAAGAAAATCAAAATCCCCTCGTATGTCCAAAAGGCCCTATTTCTTGTCTGCCTCTCCTTTGACACCCCTCCAGCCTCAGACAGTGCCATCTGCTGCTTCTTACACTTGAGCCCCCTGCTTTGTTTAGATTTGGGAATATAAAACCCAAAACCTTCCTATAAGCCATGTCTCCTGGAAGCTCCTCTTCTAACTCTTCATGGAAAGTGTTGTATTTGTGTGTGTGTGTGTGTGTGTGTGTGTGTGTGTTTTGTTTTGTTTTTTGGGTGTGTTTTTTTTTTTTTTTTTTGTCCTCATTCAGGTGCAGTCTACATGGAGGAACTTCAGTCAGGTCTTACTGTTTTTCTCTCTTGACATTCAGAATGGTCCCTTGTACTCGTAATATGTTATTGCATATTTCTGTATGGAATTAATTGTCTCAGTCTGTCCACATCATGAGGTCAGGGACTTTATCTATTTTGGAGACTGCCGTAACAGGCACCTGGTAACCATGCACAACACTTGGTGCACAGTAAGGGCGCCGTCAGTTTTGGATACATGACACGTGGATGGGCAGAGCACCAATCCTATTAGTGAAGGCAAGAAAAAATAGGGACTTCCATCAGACTTGCAGAAATGAGGGTGTAAACAAAACCCTCAGGCCTTTATATTTTATTGCCTGTTTTACTGACATTGTCAGTGTGTTCTAAACAAAGCCATATTTTCCCCATCAGAAAATTGTTCTGGAAAAGATTCTAATGGTGATAACATTGTGAATGTGTGGGAGTGGATATGTTGTTCCTAAGTGTGGTGTTCCTTATTATAGAGAGTGTCACTTTGTAAGAATTGATTCCCCTTTCTGCCTTTTAAATAAAGCCAATCTCAAATCATATTATAAAACAGTCTTGAAAAGTAGAAGGGAAACTGTCATTCTTTCTCTTTGTAAAAATCGTCGTATTGTCTTGGTGATTTTCTTTTGTCAAGATGACTAGAATTATTGGAGAAGTCTGTAAAGGCATATTATATTAAGAGTAAGGAAGAATGATCCATTCTCAAGTGGGCTTAAAAAAATAAACCTCTGTCACTTTAATTCTGAAGAGCCTGAAGACTTTGTAATGTACACAATAAGCCATTGTGGAAAGAAGACTTCAACCACAATGAAAAAATGAGGGCAGTACAGTACTATCTTTATAAATTTGCTAAGCCAAATGCAGTCCTTTTGTTCTTAGAAAATTGCTTTTTTTTACATTTTCAAAGTAAAATGCCCCATGGTTGTTCTTGTCCGTCTTCAAATGTTCTTTAGAAACACTTGTCTGCCATGAATGGAATTTTCTAAAGGGCATATTGAGTACCACTCAATATTTGTAATGGCTTTAGTGCATGTCTTATACTTGTTTCTCCCACAAAGCCCTGCTCTAATTGGTACTCAGTAACTACTTATTAGTTGAGTAAAATGTGCTTGTGTTTGTAATTGGCAGAAATATTTAAATTTTGCTATTAATTATTTCCTGGGTGTGCTTTATTCTGCTGTGTTAACTTTGCATTAAAGTCTACTCTTGCCATAGCCCTTAGCAAAACTGATTTTTGAAATATGAGTGTTAAAAATAAAATTATGGACTATTTGTGACATTCTACTTATAATCTGAAACCCTAACCTAAACCATTGAGGTTTACTCCAAGTAGGCAAAAAAAAAAAAAAAAAAGGATGTGATATGACCATTTCTAAGAGAAATTAGGCAAATTTTCATAAGAAATCTAGATTCATGCAATGATAACTGTTCATGTAATTTTTAATAATTTAATGAAAAGAATATTTTTATTTTAGTATTACACAAACATAATTAAGTCTGTTCTTTTTCTTTTCAAAACACAAAGTTACAATTTTCTGAATATAAAAGAATTATAATTTTTAATTTTTCAGAACATGGACAAAAATATTTTAAAACTAACCACTATTTAATAGTATTAAACATTGGGTAAGAATCTATTTAATTTGCTGAAATTTTTCCTGATGAGTAGTGATGGAAACTAAATTTGTCAGCATCTACATTATGTAATATTTATATTTTTATTTTATGTCTTTTTATGCATAGAGAAGGAAAGAGAAAAAAAGAAAATGGCCCACTAACAAGGATTATATAGACACTGTTACATTCCTTTTCCAAATTCTGTAATTTCATTTTATTATTTTTTGCTTAGTCCTCTACGACTTTTCCAGTATTAACATTTGAGCTGCTTTTACCTCTGTTGAAAACTTTTTTTTAATACTGTTTTCATCCTTTAGATTTTAATGGTTAAATGAACAAAACCCGGTTAGCTTTTCAACATGCATGTTGAAAATTTCTCTTACTTCAGTTCTTACATCAGAAGACATGTCATCTGAGGTCTTGTCTACCTTAATTTTTTTCCACCAGAGTCAATTCAGAGACTCAATTCCCAGTGGATGTACTTGTCTCAAAATCATCAGAGTCACTTTTGCAACTTCTGATAAAAGAGAGAATAAAGAGGCAGGTCTTTTCCCCCCACTCTAATTTGAGTTACTTTTAAGGGGGTAAATGTAGTTGTATTTTAATTCTCAGGAATTTAACAGACTAATGATGCTAATAATTGTGCTTGAAAACTTGTAACAGTTCTTTATCACTGTCACTTTGCCACTGCCATTCTAATAGTCACTGGTTCTTCTATGTCTGAATATAAAACTCCTAAAACACTATTTAGCAGACAGTTAGTGATAGGGTAAATATATTTGGAATATACAGCTGTGGTTTTTAAATGGGAATTTTAGCAGCTTCTCAGCCTGACCAGTATTTAAACAAATTGTAATCTTAGATAAAATGTAAATTCAGAATAATTTTTGGAGTCATATTTTATTAACTTCTACACACTGAGGATTTAAAATAATTGGGCTCAATTAACATTTATCAAATGCCTATTAGTTGCCAGGGATTTTTCTAGGCATTGGTCACACAAATATGAATAAAT